CTTAACTACATATCCAAAGATCTTAAACATCTTCAGCTGTAACATTCTCTCAAAAGACCAGTCATCACATGCATAAAGCTATGTCTTTTAAAACCTGATTATCTCAATTTTGCATATTTAAAGAGCCTATAAAAATTCTCCAAGAAATTCTTAAGCCTAGGCAAAATTAGAGTACTCCAAGCAGAAAGGTATTCAGGTAATGGAATACATATAATATTTGCAGTAATTTATTCTGACAGCAGGTTGGTTTGAGCACTTAGAGTTAAAGCTGCCTCCTAGGTTGTTTCAAGCACTCAATGTTCAACTTGCCGTCTCAGCTCCAGCTTCAGTACACTGAATACTGGTATGTTTTGATCAGCAAATTTAGTACATTTCTTTCTTATCAGAAATCATTTCTGTGCTTAGATAAGTAACATCTGGTCAACATGCTACCTCTTAATGTTCTCCTTGCCAAAATAAAACCACCTGTCATTGAAAGTGGAATAAGCAACAAGGAGCTATGTTTTGTGTTTTGTTGGGGTTTTTTTGTTGTTGTTGTTTTTTTTCTTTTTAACCGAGATAATAAACAGAATCCAACAGGCAATACATTTTAGCGAAGGCTGAAGAGCTGTCCAAAAATGAGACAGACTTATTTTATGGCAGACAATATGTATTGTAAAGTACTGTAAAGACTGTAAGCACAAAAAAAATAGATCTACTAAATGGAAACAAAACTCACAAATGGGTAGTTCTCTGGACAAATGGATTTGCTGTAATGTTTCAGAGCGTTTTGTGAACTTCAAGAATTAAAAACAGAAGTTAGTATGCTGGAAAATCTTTGTAAAACTTTTTTAAACAATGCAATTAAAACAAAGAATTACACATTACCTGAGGAAAAGTTCAATGTGCACAACTGCAGGTGCAATCTTTTCCACCACATCTGCTATGAAGTTGAATTTGTATCTTGGGCTGCTGGACTGTAGGTGACCTATACTAGCAGAAAGAATTGGATATGTTAATAAGACAATAAATACCCTTTTTTACCAAGTAGGTAAGACAAACATGCTTTGAATTGGTCTGTTTCTCCTGCTGGGATAGCTTCCAAACAACTACTGGAAAAGGAGTCAAAGTCATTAAGATTGTTCAAACCTTATCCAGCATTTTGCTTGATCCTGAGAAAATAAAACATCAGCATCACTCAACTGTAAGTTCTTTGACCTTCTTGGAAGTCTACACGCCTTGTCTAGAGTATTTTTGTCAGGACAAATACTAATTATTATCCAAATTGCACAGGGTGATAGGATAAGTCAGGTTGGAAGAGACCTCAAGAGGTCTCTAGTTCAACCTCCTGCTCAAAGCTGGGTCAGCTATAGTGGCCAACAAGGTCACTCAAAGGCTCTGTCCAGCTGGGACTTGCAAACCTCTAAGGATGCAGACTCCAGAAACTCCCTGGGCAAGTTGTCCCACAGCTTCACTGTCCTCCATGAGGTAAAAGTTTTTCTTCTATCTAGTCTGAATCTCTCTTGTTGAGACTCCTGCTTCAACTCATGCCCACTATCTCTTATCCTCTCACTATGCACAACTGTAAAGAGCCTGGCTCCATGTTCTTGATAACTTCCTCATGAGTATAGGAAGGCCACTGGTTAGTTCCCCTGAAGCCTTTTCTTCTCCAGGCTGAACAACTCCAGTTCCATCAGCTTCTTCTCACAGGAGATATGTCCAGCCCTTCCCAACCATCCTCACGACCCTCTCCTGAACTCACTCCAGTTCCTCAAAGCCTTGAGGCGTGGGGTCCAAAACTGGATGTAATATTCTACATGTGACCTAGCAAGTGCTGAGTAATATAGCTGCAGCATCTGGGAACTGCATTTAGAACCTAAGTTAGGATCTTTTGAAGCAGACACATTAGCCACCTGCCTTAGATTATAACGTTTATACCTAAGAAGTTTTGCAAATTGACATTTAAGCTGTCGCAAGCAGCTGGGCATAGCAACAGATTACTAAATACTAAGTGTTCTAATAAAAGACAGTGCAGTACTACATTAAAACAGCACTATACACAGCATTTACGAATACTGAATATAGTTATGTGGAATGAAGATCTTAGAGATGAAAAAAAGCCCACAGCATCCTGGCTTCTAATGTCACAACATCCTGGAATACAGCATTGCAACATCACAAAGTAGTAACACTGCTTGTGCAAGAACATCATGCTTATCTGCAATCCTTAATACATGGGGACATATCACCACCTGTTAAACATATGCTAGGGGACGTATCACCACACTCAAATATCACGTCCACAGCTTGATGCTTTAAAATTTACTATGGGATCTAGTGAAGGGAGTAAATGAATTGTAATCAGATACAGCAATAATATTTTTGGCTCTTTTGAAATCTGGTGCAATAGCACACTGCTTATTGCAGGAGATATAATTATTTTTCCATCATTTAGTCAGCAAGAAGAGGCTCAAAGTTCTATTTTCTAAACAATATCAATTCTTCAGAAGTGACATTCTGCACCATCATGACTTGCACTAAGTTCAACTCATACTAAAGGATGAACTTACTCCACAGTAGCTCTTGTGTACCAAGTCAGCATCTGGTCTTGAGCGTTCTAGATTTGCCTATTTTTAGATCACATAACATAGTAATAAGTCCAGATACGGAGTCTGTCTCTTGAAAGTATATACTTTTTCGTCAGCTGCCCTTTACCCAAGGCTTTAAAAGGGTAGGTAGGGGACATCACACAAAAAGAAAACATACACAGAAAGGAAAGGAGAGAGAAGTTTAAGAGAGAAGAGTTCTCACACATTTTGGCATTCTGTGTAGTTCTTAATTCAAAGATCATTTTCACCAATTCATATCTACAGCTGTTTTACTGATCATTAAACCTTGTAACCTGCAAATTACTTGGGATGGATTAAAGATTAGAGGACAATGGAGTCTAACCTATTTACAAAAAAAAAAATTATCTATTCCATTCTATTCTTTGGATGGATTCATAAGACAGTGGGTGACAGAGAACTAGTTCCTATAGTCTCTCAGAAAGCTTTCATAATAAATTGTTAAAGAACACAAAAAGTCAGAAAGTGAGAGGTCTTACAACAGGATCCCAAAGACCTGAAGCAAAGACAGGAACTTAAGGAATTTGACCCAGCACTGGTACTTGGTAAAACCAAATCAAGACAATTCAGCATTTCTCCATACAAGTCCATGAGTTCTTTTTCCTGTTGCTGGACATGGGATTTACTTCTGAAAGAAACCTTGCTTACATTTAGCAAGCTACATTTATACAATATGGTATAAACAGAAGGAACAACTTGGCAGGACTAGATTCAGTCTATTATTTTTATGTACATTCTCACGCACTCTGAAAAATCCCTCTAACCAACTGGACACGCTTATTTTAGTACTCAGTTTAAGAGACACTGCAAACAGGAATCACAGAGGACAATCAAATGTAAGCACAATATACTGTTATTTATTTTGCTTACTGGGCCACTGAAGATTTATCTTACCTTCAGTTCACAAGCAGTTTGCCTGATTATGCAGTATATCCTTTGAATTCTACTAACATGACTTTGAATGCTTGTACAGACAGCAGTGTTCACTGACAGGATTCAACATTATCATTGCATTTATCTTAACAGAAAGACTAGGCATCTATGAAAGGCAGCTGGCTAGACCTTCAGCTGATGAACTAGCATAGAATTGGGGGTAAAAAGCATGGCGAATGGAGTTTTTCAGTTAGTATAAATCAGCATTTACATGTGAGTCAGGGCAACTAAATCCCTTTGCATCTGCCGATTACTGAACTGTTCTGCCCATGCCAAATTGTCACAGCATTGCACACGGCCAAAAGCAGAAGACACATGCCAAGGAACTCACTTTTGCGACACTCCTGACCAGCCACCAGTGAAATATTGTGGGTGGCTGAGGCTTTAAAGGTCAGATGGCAGGTAGGCAGAGAGAAAAAGCCTGAAAGAAGTAGCAGGTGAATGTAAACATGGCAAGAGACAAAGAAACTAAAATGTTGCAGTACAGAGAGGAGACTGTAAAGCTGAAGCAAAGCTTGTGTTCTTTTCATACCATAGTGAAAGCATTTCTCAGCCTGAGCAAAAGTCCAGAACCCCTCTGCTGGGGTCAGAAGACAATACTCAAACTTGAAGGTGGATCGAAAACTGCACTGTATATAAAAGAGAAATCTGAAACAAAGGAGGATCAAGAAGAGCAGGCACGCAAACTTTGTAAGAAAGGCGCAGCTGAAGATCTAATTAGAGATGAGCTGTTCTTACTATTGCCTGGTGGGGCCTAAATACTGGTGCTAACTGCCTTACAAAGTTGAGATGACTTCATAGAAGCTGATCTCTCTCCAATACTTTTCTGCAAGCTGGGAGTGATAAGAATCTTTAAACACATTGTATGACATGGCAGGAACACAAACTGTGGACTTGGAAGATGTAACTGCAAACGAACATTTACTCTCACACATACGGCCCTATTTAAGGGCACTGAAAAGTTGGTTATTAATAACAACATTTTAGTATACAACTATTAAACTGTTGGTTATCATCAGAAGTTCTCAATATACTTTAAAAGAGAGGAACTGCAGCCTGAGAAACTGAAGAAGGAAGCAACATCCAACATTGTATAAGTTATATAAAGTCATCCTGAAAACAAGTGCAGCAGTAGAATCAGGGCTTTATGTCACGCCTTCAATCTGTCCTTTAATTTGCATTAGTTGGTAGACACCGGCTGCTGCTACTGTTCTTACTAAAACACAAAATTAAATGTGCTTTTTCTTTCTTTCCCTCCCACCCCAGGCACTCCTGCTGTCTTGCAGAGCTTCATGCAGCACTCAGACCTCTGCTGGACTGTGAATGTAAAAGCTCTGAGTTTACAGCAGCTTTGTGTATTTTGACCTATTGACCTACTGAGATTTGCCCCATTTTTTCAAAAGTCTCTCAATAACATCCACTATTTTCCATGTTATTACTGCATGTTCAAAATCATCTCACAATAACCAAAGCTAATTTATTCTGGCAAAAGCCATAATTTAATCCAATTAACTATCCGTTGTATAACCAAGATATCAAAGGAGCTGCAACCAGATTGTATTTGAAGCAAAAACAAATTTATATTGTATGAGTCTTCAGCTGTCCACACATTTCTTAGTCAAAAGAACTAGATTTTCCCCTTCTGCTCCATAGCCACAAATCAAACAGATTTTCAGCAGATCTGAACCCTCATCCTATCACTTCAATTAAGTGATTAGATCTTCAGCTCTCCAGTTCCTCTCACAGAAGACTCAAAATCCAGATAGATTTGGATGTGAGTGCATAAACTGCAGTAAAAAATATTCAGCCTATTTTGTAAAATGTGATCTTACATTCCCAGTTCTATGAGCTTCAACGACATTGGATTTACATGGCTAAAGCTAAGTGTCAGTCAGGTAGGAGTATCCTTATCATCAGTTTAAGACTCTTCCTGGATATCTACAGGCTGTGAGTTCATTTAATAGTGTTTTATTTACTTTCTTCCAGAAACAACAGACCCACTCCAATCTCATTACCACTGCTGTAAATCAGGAACAACTCCAACAAATTTGCAGAATTAAACTAATAGAAAGGTAACTGAAAAGAATTTCAGCAGAAATAAATCGTCATAATCCCACTTAAGACACTAAAGCCAGACCCATTTACATTTGCCAAAGACTGAAAGTTTCTGAATATCTGCCAACTACTCCCTGTAGAATTAAATCAAATCACATTCAATGCTTTCTTAAAGACAATATGTTGTATTAAAAGCCACAATTTTTTATTCATTAAGAATTTGTGAGCCTGGGAAACTCATTCTTTTAAGGCTGTTCCCCTGTCCCCCTTTTAAAACCAGTCTCAGAAAAGATCTGTGTGTTCAGCAAAATTATTATGTCTAAGGGAGGACTGCAACCTGGCAGATCTGATCACCAGGGATAAACACTGTCCCTACTGTGCTTTCATGGAAAGAAATGAAAGACAAATAAAAGATTATAATGTCTCTGCTTAAAAAACAGAAACATCTGCTGGAAACATAGGTTCATGGGCAGCTTTTCTGATTAATTCAGCATTAAGATCAAGTTGCATAGCTGTGCACTGACCATAAAGCCTTGGTGAGTTTAATGCCACATTATGGTTCAGGCAACTTGTTTATACAGTGCACGTCTACCGTGCACAGATGAAAACAATTTGGTGAACCAACACCAAAGGGGCTTTCTTGTGCAGCGCAGCAATCACAACAGCCAGACAGAGACAGTGGCACCTCACTGCCTAGCTGACTTCAGATGCTGGTTATTCCTCCTGCCCAAATGGCCCTCAGAAGGAAACACAAGGAGAACATCTCTTTCCTGTTAGCTATCCTATACAAAGCAGTGCAGTACCATTCTTTGAATATTTACCAAACACTGTACAGTATTAATCCTCACCTGCAGGAACTCAAAACAAACTCAGACATAAGGAAAACAATCAGTAAGGGAATGTGACTGGAGTTTGTGTTTCCAGCCAATACCTTGCAGTGCATTTCCCTAAATACAGCTGGAGGCAGCTGTAAGGCTTTGATGGCAGTCATACCAGCAGGAGACTTCAGTATCTCTTACTAGGCGAACCTATCAGAAATGCAAGTAATGATATGCTCAGTTGTTCCTCTGTATCTTCAAGGTTATGTACAGGCACACTCCAAACATCCCACGTAGAACTGTGTGCAGTGACTCTGTCAATGCTTTAACCATATTTCAAACATTTCTTCCAGGGAACTGAACTTTCAGGCTCATATCTGGCAAAGTTTGACTGACACGGGTGAGGCTTTACATCATGACCACTTTCAAAGAGTGACTTCAGGTAAACAAAGCAGAGAACAGACACTCAGGCAGAACCTCAGAAAGGATCAGTGTCAAAGCCAATGCACTTGTTTGCTGGAACTTCTTTCCTCAGAGGTTTTCTAACCCATCTTCTGTTTTCCCTTGTTGAACTGGCAAAATAGCACCCTTATTTTTCAAAAGAATTAATTTTTGATTCCACATCCTAGGTGAGAAAATACATATTCTTCTACAGAATCCAGTAGCAAAATAACATTGCAGGGAATTATTAACTGTAATAAGAAAGTTGTACTGAGAGATCATAAACAGCCCTTTGTGCAAGAAAAAGTCTGACACAGATTGGCCATAGGCTGCAGGTGACCTTGTAAATCCTTTGAGGAGTTTGACATGTAATAGATCGATAAGCAGCATTATTAAAACTTAAATTTGCTGCAATGAGAAACAGGGCTTTTTAAGAATGGGTCTTTGATTACAGAAGTTGTCTTCCATAAATGTATGCCATTACTTACACACTAGCCTGTAATAGCTCATCTTTCTCCCACTAGGTGTCAGAAGGCAGGAAAAAGCTAGCTGCTTCAGAAAATTCCCATATATTAAGATATCTAGTGTTGAAGAAGGGGCAAAAAAAATTGTAGCATATAGCTTAAATTTGCCTAGGAGTTCTGCAGACTGTTCCTATCAGTACCTCAGAGAAGTCCATGGGTCTGGCTCAGATGCGTAAGGCTAACTGTATGGTAATAGTTTTCAGGGCATAGACATATTGAAGAACATCAATGATACAGTTCCTGTAAAAAAAACCTTGCAATTTGGTATGGTGTTCTTCAAGCTAATTCTGTCAATTTTTGAATTATCATTCAGTCATCCTTGGCACCTCTTTCCTCCCTTCCTTCCTTTCTGCATCCTTTACTATCCTTCACTACTCCCTTTTCATGCATCCTCTTTCACCAGACTTCTATCATGAGGAAACCACAGCTAGATTTTCCTCAGCCTATCTTGGTTTAACACAGCCAGAATCTAACTTGGCATCAACATAAGCAACTGGAAATGGACAGGAGTAGACATTTCAAAAGCCGCTCCTCAGGGTCACTGCGTGTTCTGAAAATGGCCTAAGTCATGCTATGTAAGGCTTACTGTTATTGCTGTAATATATGTATGGTTAAGTAAAACTGGATTTACTTCATGACTATCTTAGTCCTTCAAACTCTGAGTCATCTGAGGCCAGATTTCTTTCAAGAACAGGGGAAAAGAGAGAAACTTGACAGTAATTTTAAACTGTTGAATTTCTTCTAAACCTCTTATTACAGCCATTGCGTGTTATTGTTTAAAAAAATATAATTTAAAAATACCATAATTGAGTTCTATTCCTGGCTCAACCACCAACTCAGTCTGACCTTGGGCAAGACACTTGGTTTCTTTGAGTTTCAGTTTGTGCAGCTGTAGAACTGCATAAAAAAATTAAAACTTAACAGAACCAGATGCTTCATCAAAGCTGAGGTTTTCTGGGACAAAAATTAAAGCCAAAATAAAGCAAACACTAAAATAGTTGCTTTAAAAAAAATAGTTACCTCTACCTCACAGCTCCAAATTCCTAAGCCTATTAACAGTAGATTCAGGAGGATTCCTTAAAGAAAATGTCATATATATCAAATGCCAAGCACTCAGTAAGCCCTTAGATGCAGACTAGCTCACTCAATTTTGGCTAAACATTCCGATTATTTCACATGGATCAGTTCCAACCAAGTATTAAGATTACTAAAGCTGGTGGACTCTGATGTGGAAAGGAACAGGCAAACAGCAATTTATAACTACAAAATACTGGAGAGACTGATCATTGCAGCTCCAGGCTGGCATCTAGAGCAATTCCTGGCTCTGACAAGATAGTCCTAAAGTAACTCCAGGAATATCATTTGACCTCCTCCCTCACTGTGCCACTGTTCACCTTCTCTTAAAAGCAGGATATATGAAAGTTTCCCTACTCACAGAAAGGCTACAGCAGTAGCCCTTTTCCCTCCGGCTCCTCCCAATAATTTTGGGAAGTCTGCTATCTGTGAATAAGCAGAATGGTTAGTGGTTCACCTGCCATAATGGAAACAGTAATGCATGATTTGAAACTCCATTATGCATATGATTTTTCTTTCCAGGAACACTATAAGAAAGGTAGCAGAAGCAAACTCCTAAAATAACATACCAGTAAGTACGTGAAAAGATATTAGCAGCATTAATGAAGTGACCCATTTTAATACTACAAAAACCCACAAACATAAGTGATTGCTAAACTTTCTGAGGTTAAGCCATCAAGCCTGAAGTTACCACAGCATAACACAATATCCGAGGTCAAGCAAAGGCCTGAGTATATTACTGCAAATGAATCCCTTGATATCCTGTCTGTCAATACTTTAAACTGTAAATGAGGTTCACAGGCATTTTTTCCCCACTTTAAACTCTCCAAGACTACAAAATGCTTGTGAAAACAAAACAGGCAAAAGACTATGTTTTAGGCATTTTATATACTACTTTGTGGGTTTTCTACCCTGTTTGATTTGCATGGCTTTAAGATGCATTTTCTGCCTAAAGATCCCCATCAAGTGAATCAGATTAATCTCCACATCATGAGGGAAGGCCCCAGAGCACAGGCATTCCCCGGTCTCTGCTCTGCCTACACAGGCCATGGTGCAATGGGTCTGCAGTGCAACTGCGTGGAAAACGCCGCCAAAACCCCGTGGCAACAAGTGCCAATGCTACAAAACAATGAGAGCAAGCTTGTACCCCAGCCCTGCCTGCATGCCCTGCCTTGAGAAGGGACCATGGCCAAGGACACAACCACTGCCCTACCAGTCTAATGCCACCCAGCCCTGCCAGCCTAACGCCTGCCACTGAGCTTGCTTCCATGTTGTCAAGTGCGTTCACCACCCACCCACAGGAGTGTTGTGGCCAAGATGTGCACAATGCCAAGGTGTGCACGGCCACACTACAGAGGGGAAGCCTTCCCAGACCTCAGCCAAGGCCTCTAGCCCACACTGCCCATGAAGGAGGAGGAGGATTTTTGCCGTTCAGAACGAACCAGAGCACCTCTTTCCCATGCCGTATCAATTGCTGGCAGCGGGGTGAGATGCTTTGCTATTGTAGCCCTCCGACAGTCCCTGGAGCCACCGACTCTTCCTAGGTCACTGAAAATCACAACTTGGAAGTTGTGATTTCCCGCTTTCCGAGCCTGGAAACCAGCAAGCCCCTGCGCCGTCCACCCACCACCCTTCGCCCCGTGGGCAGGCCCCACCATGCTCCTACCCGATTCACAGGCTCCCTTCTGGACCTGGGCGACGGCGGGCAGCCCGTGCTGCAGCGCCTTGCGGCTCACCGCCTTCAGCTGGCAGATGTTGTCGTAGGTCCGGCCGTCGCTGCCGCACACCTGGGTGCTGAGTTTGCACTGGCAGACCCCCTTGGCGAAGCGCTTGCCCATGGGGTAGCGACAGTCGAGGCTATCCCCGCAGGGGGGGTCCTCCTT